ATATTAATATATATTTTTAAAAATTATTTTATAACTTCAAATTTAAAAGCATTTTTAACCAAACATATTAAACTATTTTTTGTTCAATTTTAATTTTAAATATATTTATAATCAAACATACATAAATACCAAACCAACTTCAACTAAAAATAACTTTTTAAAATCATAATTATAAAAATTATCAAAATACCAATCATTCATTTGTCACACTCATGCTTAGAGTTGGAGAAGAAAATCCTTTATGAATTAAAATTCTTCCAGAAATTTTCCATCCATCTCTCTCAACAAGTTCTTTGAAACTAAGCCTTGATTTTTTATTTTATTTTTTGGTGGGGGCACAGCTACTTGAATGACCTATAAGTTGATTCGAAGAAAAAAAGTATAAGTTGTTATTTCAATCGTTTTAATTTTTAATTATGAGATAATTTTTTCACTTTTTTAATTATTCTATGTTTTGTTAGGTTTGGAACGACTGGATAACCAGGTTATAAAAAACTCAACAAAATAAATAATGTTTTATTTAATTTAATTAGAAATCAGACCATATCAAGCTTCTAATCTTTTTTTTTTTTTTGGCAAAATTACTATGTGGGTTTCTAACTTTGGACACAGCCCGCAATTTCTGTTCGAAAATGCAGTAGCTACTCCAAGCCCGGATAGAATCCAGGCGGCACAGCCCAATAAAAATCTCAATATCAAGTAAGTAAAACGGCGTCACTTCCATACGAAACAATCTGTACTCATAACTGTGCACTTAGGGCTAGGGTTTTTTCGCATCTGGCTTTCCTCTCTATATAATCGATGCCGCTTAGAGGAGGGCTAAACACTCCACGAACATGACGCCTGCACAGCCCGCTGCTCATCTTCTTAACATATTTTCCTCTATTTTTTTTATGTTTCTACAATTTTATTAATCCATTGCTCCATCTACGGATAGAAAAGAGATTAAAAAGGGGGTTGGCTGTGATGATTATAAAAAATTCATCGTTCTGAATGCTATAGCCATGGCTTGACAGACTCATTTACACCCATAGAATATGAGCACCGACCCTCTCTTTTGTCTTTAATTTCAGATTCTATTTTATCGAATTTCCTTGCTTTATTTTAGTTTTAATTGGATTAAAAATTATTTATCTGATTTGATTTGAGCTGTCTAGCTTAAATCATTTCCATGGTAAATTCACTGTTTTATACTGAATTAATTAAAGGGTTTGAAGGAGCTGGACCATGATTTGCAATGCATTTGCTTTAAATGCTTTGTGTTTTGTCAGCTCCTGAAATTAAATCTGGTGGTGTTTAAAGCCCTAATTTGATGGAATTTGAAATTCCGTGGATTAGGGTTACGCACGCCTCCATATCACTTGATGACGTTATCTTAACTCGTTTTTTGTTTAATTTTATTTCTTATTTTCTTGAGCATAAGATGGTTCTTCAATAAACTCTTATTTCTAACCGATTCGGATTTATTGATAGTTACAGCTTAAGCATCGTAGAATCTTTGGAGTAAATTGGTTTCGCTTCGTGGGAGTTTCGGGGGATTTTTTTCGCATGTGCTCTAAATTGTTATTGCAGATTCATATTTCTTGATTGTTACACCATAAGCTTCATAGGATTTTTATATTTAATTGTTCTCGCGTTGAAGGAATTTAGGGAAACTTTATTTGAATGTGCTGTAAAACTGAGAAACTTGATTTTATATACTGTTTCTGATTCAATTTTTGGTGCTTTGTTTTCTATTATACTTGCATGGTTGTGGGTTTTACCAGCCTTACAATTGGAACCTGTATGCAGAGGATTGGTGTTGATGCTTGTTGAGTGTCCAGGCATTGGCGTGGGTGGCTTGTTAGGTGTATTGTCCAGAACCTGCAGCATGAGCATCTATCTATTGAACATAGACGAGTCAACAGAAACTAAACGAGTCTGAAATTGGAGTGGAATGGGTATCCTGCGGGTTTGTTGTTGACAGTACCGAAATCTATCTCTGTTGCGGTTGTCTATGTCTGCTGGGTGGTCACTGGATAATTGTGGGAAGGGTGGTTGGGTCCTTAAACTCATTAAAGATGCGATTTTACTAGTATTTTATGACATATGGACGCAGAACTTACCTTCATTTTGTAGCTGTCATGTGGAATTTCGCACAACCTTTTTACTTCTCTTACTGGGAGTTCATCCGTGGAATTTGATTGCTATCTTCAATCATTCTCCAGCTACATGTTTTGTGGTCTGTGACTTGGAATTAAGAAGGTAAGAGCAAGAGCAGTAACGGACAGAAACCGTGCGCCAGTAAACCAGATGAAAGCAAAAGTGAAGGCATGAGATGTTTTCAAGAACTTTGATGCAATTATGGTAGAAAAAGAATAAAAAAGCTGAAGAAATGATAGAGCAGAGGAAAGAAATTACATTGGTTTGTTGAAGTTGGAACCCTGGGGTGGTGGTCAAACGTTTCAAAATTTCCACTTTATAGCAAAATACTTCATGGCTTGATTTTCGTGTGGCGCTGATTAGCTAGTAATTTGATGGCCTTGGTTTCTTGTTAATGGACCAAAACGTAAATTTATCAAATGTCAGTTAACTAGAAGCAATATGATGAGCTCTGTTGTTTGCTTCATCTTATTGTGTCTCTCCTCTAGTCAAGCATGCAGTCTCCGCATTGCTGTTCTTGTTTAAAATTCAAACGATTGTCTTGGACGATTTCCTTTGAATGTTGTACAGTATCCCATTCCTTTCCCAGTTCAAATAAACGTGTTGTGCAAGGATTTTGTGCCAAGAGTTGCCATGCCAATGGATTCTTTAGTCCTATTTCAAGGCACACCGGATGTTCTCCAAAGTTCAATCTGGTCCATGGCCAACCTAATTGGACTACTATTCAATACACAGAGGAGTTGATAGCAAGGAGTGGAAGAGAATGAGAATTAGAAACGTAAGCAATTTTTATCAAACTGCGAGAATGGAAATGGGTGTCTGATTAGATATAATAGAGGATGTTGATTAAAATTTATTGTTTATTTTAATAGATAAGGAGGGAGTTAAAAAAAATGATTTTTCAATCATAATTTGTTTCCATCTTAAGAAATATGAAGCTTTTACCCTTCCAAACCGTCAAGGCTTGAAATTTTCTTGAGACTCGGTTTAAATTCCGGAGGGATGGGAATGAGTGGTGAATTTAGGCATTGTGATTCTCAATGCGTAGGCTTAGATTTATTGATCTCCCATTAAATTAATAAGAAAAAAACAGGCCAACACTTGATAGTATTTTCTATACGGAAGCCTCACAATGAGTGGCTCTGATCAATTCATTTCAAATTTGCAACAAAAAGTATCACGAATTCTTTTTGTACAGATGCTGGAGCGCTCGGCTTTCCCCTGTAAAAGCCGAAAGCCTAATGTCAAGTCCCAGGGTTGGACGCCATAAATACTCTAGAGTTTAAAGCCCATGAACAAAAGAAGCCCAATTGTGACCGCTAGTTATGCCGTCAGCTCACGTTTGTCATCCTCGCAGCGCCCCGAAATCGGCTGGATACTTGTGTATATATAATTTTACATTCGCCGAGTCCGATTTGAAAATTGCCCAACAAAAGTGTGTCTTCGTAGTTTAACTTGTTTTTTCTGACAAAAAGATTAGATTGTTTTTCGCATAAAAAATATATTAAATTGAAGTGTTTTATGTATTTCTCAATGATTTTAATATAACCATGTCAAAATAAAATAAATTCCTTTAAAAAATATTATCATAACACATTTTTAAATAATATTTTCTTTTACAAAAACACTATTCCCTCATCATCAATTAATTGCTTTCATTAAAATGGTGGCTCAATTAAATTTTTTATAAAAATAATTTTTTTTGAAAAAATATATTCATAAAAACAACGAAGATTCATCCTTTTCCTTTTTTATTATTTAAAGTTAACTAAATTAATTTAAATAAAGTTTGATTAATTCAATCAAATTAGATATTGCCAGATGAAGTCGGATTTCACATCACAGCTATGTTCTAAAATGTTCAAAAAATATGATACCTGACATTTGACATTTTAGCCTATCAAAATATTCATCGAGTGATTTAGCAAGCGTGTCTGAATTCTTCCATCCAAGTCTTGTCGGTCCTAAAAAGAATAAAATACATAAAATCCGCGCCATGCATTCTCAATTTGTAACAACTACGTCAGAGGCACATTTACAGCAGCAAAGCCACTGGCTCAACAATATCTGGAAAACAATAATAGAACGATCACAGGATATATATATAACACCGGGTAGGTACTGAGAGTCAAAATTATACCAGACAAGCATAATTCCATGATACAAATTACAAGCCTTTAAAGGATCTTTCTGCCAAGCACATTGGCGATCATCGTTCTCCATTTCTTCTGAACACACCAATAACCAAAGAAATACATATAATAAAATTCGAAAAATAACAATATAACAGACAGATTAACAACTTCAAAAACAAAGTGCTCCATGTTTTGTCAGCTAAGATGACAGGAGACTTCTTAGATGGCAGATCAACAGAGTTACATGGCAGGCAACGAAGAAGAATGCACAATTGTGGATCCAAGTAGGTCATTGCAGAGGCTGCCACCTTCATTGGTCTTGTTCTCTGCTCTTGGGCTGCTTCCCGCACTGCTATTTGAAAGGGAAGCAAACGCTGACTTTTGCAAGACCCCAGTTGGAGATGAACCTATACGAGGACTGTTGTCCCATCTATAGGTCATCAGGTTCAGCGATGACGTGGTCTTGCACTCTGCTGCTGCATTGTTATTGGTGTTGTGCAAGACCTCCCCGAGCGGACCACCCACTGAAGTTCCCCAAGAAATGGGAATCCAGTTGGCTTGCCTTTGGTTAGGTTCGTTGGCAATACTACCACTTCCACCTCCCACTCCCAGTCCCATCTGTATTGGATCAAATTCTCTTGATAATCTCAATGGGGAGAGAGTGACTTTTTCATTGTTTGGGGAGGAAGTAGATGACATGAAATCTGCAGGAGCCATGGGGATTGAAATCGATAGCTGGGTTCTCTCAGATTGCTGATCAAGTTCAGGCCAAGAAACAGCAGAACGATCAGACTGACTTTTAGGCCAATCATCCATGAATTGGCGGAGGGAGTGCTGTGAAACAGATTCCTGGTCAGTGAGGTCCTGAGACGAACCAAAATTTCTGCAGCTCATTAAAGATGAGCTTTTCTGTGAGTGATTGAGGAGGGAGTCGGAGGTGACAAGTCCAAACTCATTTCGTAAGGATTCCCCATATGAGTTTTGTTGTTTTGATATGAAGAATGGAGTTTCTTTAGATTTAAGGTCCATGTTGGATCGAAGCATGGACAAGGCTGTCGCATCCTGCGTTCTCTCACCTACATTCTCTTTAGTAAGGAACATCCTGCCAGTTATCCATGAGTACAAACCATTAATTACCTTCAAATAAGCCAATTATGGGCATAAAAAAGAATAAGCTACTTGATCTGAGATATCAACGAATTCCTTACAAGTAGAATACGATTCCCTATAACATAGAAATCTTATGTCACCATAAATAAATAAAAATAAAACCTTCTTTAAAAGGATAGAATAGATTCCAAGACAGTCAAGGTTTAAATTCATCTTGCTTTTACCTGCTGAGCGTATTAGAGGCAGAAAGATTAGATGGGCTAGCTGCTTGCTGCTGATTATGAGCAATAGTGAGGCTGTCGGACACAGTGCTGCGAAGCCCCACCACTGATGATGATGTAGAAGACGAAGTGCCATTGGCTGGTTTTACAGTGGTGGCGGCTGCAGCGGAATGGCCTGAATGGCCTTCCACAGGCTTTCTTGAACGATGGCGGCCCCTGTTCATATGCCGCTCACAATACTTCTGATCGGCAACTGCATCTCTTGAGCACCGCCATTTCTTCCCATCTGTCCTTCGACAGCGTCCTGGCTCCGGATCAGTGTTGCTGGAGAAACCCATATGGAAAGCACCCCAAGGCACTGTTTTTGCACATTTCACAAGACAAAATGCAACACATATACAAATGTCAGATAAAAAAATGATATTTCGATTCCTGACTAATCTGCTGGATACAAATTCGAAGCAGATGAGATTAGAACTTCCGTGTTAAGATTTAGTGAAAGTAAATGGAGTACAGGAATTATAGCTGAATTTTAGTTTCTTCTCAAAGAACTAATAATTAGAGCTCGATTGAATTTCTTTTCACTAAGATGCTAGAGATTCCAACGGTAATGATCTGTGGCCATGCGTTCAAAGACTAACCATTTAACCACAGGATTAATACTCAACGTAAAAGAAAAGGATACCCATCTTGCACAAACGACCCCTTCTACACATACAAAATACAAACACTGACGCACATCTAGACAGACACAAAGGCATGTATGGCTACTTTGTACATCAAAATAGACAGAATCAATTCAAGGGAGAGAAGCAAATCTGGTTGACAAAAAGGAAAAAGAACTTAGAACTCATTTTTTTATGGAGGAGACAAAACTTACATGTATTGGCTCTCAAAAAACCAGCAGAAAAGCTAGGAAACCCAGCAGAATCAAGAGCTTTTCTTATGGGAATGAGCAGATTAGAAGGTATTGGCACATTTGCTGCTATATACTTGTAGATCAAGGCCTGATGTTCAAGCTCCATCCATTGTGATTGAGTGAATGGCCATCTGGTCTCGGTCAAAACCCCATGCATGCTGGCAGCATTGTAGATACCAGAGCTGTAGCCTAAAAAAACAAACACCAAGAAAAATCAAGTCAAACTAAGTAGAAACTTCAGGCACTTAAATCCAAAACCTCTTCGTCCGCAGAGATTATAAAATAGAAAAGGCCATGATCTCCTGATGTAGATAGGAGTAGGAAGGCATGAAAGTGTCTAGAAGGTTACTAAAAATCAAGTTTTGTTTTGCCTACAAAACTTGAAGAGGTTGAAACATCAATGAGTTTCTGTCTGTGAGAGATCATGAAAACAAACCATAAAAGTAGAGAGTAAAGCCATGAAAGGGAGAAACAGACGAAATCCAAACCAAAATTTTCTCGTTTAGAGCACACTGGTTCCCTGTGCTTGATTAATTACCAGAACCCATCACCCGAAAACAGGAAGGAAGACACAGATGATAACAATTTCTACTTTATCTTGACAAGACTTTTAAACAAGACCACTCCTAGATTTCACCGAAAGGACCTCTCGACACCACTAGCACCGGGAATCATACCCCAAATAACAAGCTATTGATCAAATAGACGTTAAAAAAAAAACCCCACAACCCCGTCACCTATGAGTTCAATAAAAAAAACCATGGGTTCATACAATGCGGCCCGTAAAGCCATAATGTCTGTAGAAGCCACTTGCTTCCTCAAAGGAAACCAAGGATAACACTATCATATCCTCAAATAATGAAGCATATTCCACTTATAGGCGAATCCTTAATGGTGTTCAATATGGTACCTGTATTTCTATTATGTGCAGAAGATGTGAGGTGAAAGTACGGCAATGTGCCATTTTGGGAGCTTCTCTCAGCTGAAGGAGCTGATCTGGGATAGGAGAAGCTAAGCATCTGCTGCTGCTGCTGCTGCTGTCCATCAGCGAAGAGAAAGTTGGAGCTAGATTTCAGAAGTGAAGTGTTACTCTGCTCAAGCAGCATTGACTCAGTTTTGGACAGTTTAGAGCACCTCCAATCACCATCGATGTTGCCAGGTCTCTCTTGCTTCAAGAACCCAGATCCGTACAACTTCTGCTTTGCTTCAGGATCTGAGCTAGCAAGCGAAGCAAAACCACTATTACTTGTGTCTGAGCCCACGAACCCATCCAAACCCACCTGAACCCCAAAATCCATATAGAAAATCCCAACAAAAACTACAAAACCTCTACGCTAAAGAAACAATACTGAAGAAGCATTAGCCCGTTCGGTAAAAAGACATGACTTTTAGGTGTTAGGGACAGGTTCATCTTGAGAGCTTCATGTGAGAGAATAGATGATAGATATTAGTAAAAGCTACAAAAGCTGAAACTGAAAAAACCAGACTGGTTTTTGGTTCAAGACTTGATTTTGTTTTTTGGAAAGATAAAAAATAATTGGAGAGAGACCGCTGAGGGAAGGAAACTGACCAGACAAAGCTGGTATTAACTACTCTTATATATTTCAAACAAACTCACAAGAACCTCTGTTCAATAATATTACAGAGAAACCCCTGGAGGAGGGGCCTCATTGACATGGCATGTCGAAAAAAACCAAGGGTGTTATTGTCTTTTGGAATCTGCAATTGTCACTTTTGTCTCCTGCTAAAACCTATCTTCCAAATTTTTCTTTTGCTACATTCGGTAACGCGGTTCACTTCTTATGATACGTTTTAAACTATTTTTTACTTGAACAGTTATAAAGTTAATATTTTCTTATATTTTTTTTATAATTTTAATGTTTTGATATTAAAAATAAAAAGGTATTATTTTAATATATATCTAGTTAAAAAATATTTTTTCAAGATGCTTTAAACTGCTCTAATAAATATATATATTGAGTAACAAACTTGTGTGTTCCCAAACCATCTGACGAAGAGTTTTAGTTTTACATGATCAGATTCATTTTAAAGTAGAATTAAACCTAATAATCAACGAATTAACGTGTTGAACTTGTAGGTGAAACCTAATAATGATATATTTGTAAGAGTTGTTGATGTTATTTTTAAAATATTTTTATTTTTAAATATTTTTAAATAATTGATTTTTATTATTTTTAAATTTATTTTTTTCTTTAGCATATCAAAAAAATCTAAAATAAAATAATAATAATTTAAAATCAAAATTTATTAAAAAAACACCCTTTCAAACACAACTTATGAGAATGCTTGTGTGAGTGTAATTTAGATTGTTTTCTTAAAAAAATATTAAGAAATGTATTATAATAATATTTTTTTAATATTTTATAGGATGTTTGAAAGTGATTTTTAACATATTTTTAATTAAAATTTAAATTTTTTTACTTCAAGCTATTTTTTAATATTTTTTAATTATTTTAATATATTAATATTAAAAATAAATTTTTTTAAAAATATATATTATTTTAAAGACAAGTGAAAGTACCTTTTCTCGTAATGAGAGGTGGAGATGAGAAAGAAATTTTGCTTACTCTGTCTTGCAAGGTTCTTTAGCGGTTAAGAATGCTTGCTCTCCTTTTCTACTATTTAATAATGTGGTTATAATTGTTTAAAAAAATTATATTAAAATAATATTTTTTAAAAATTATTTTTAAAATCAACGCATTAAAAAATTAAAAATAAATTAAAAATAAAATTTTTAAAAACATGATTTTCAAGGTATTTCTATACATTCTTTTTAAATGTGGAATTTATTAAAAAACAAGGAAGATTAGATTTTATTATTAAATTTTATACATAATTAAATTATTCCTAACCGTAATATTAACTACAAAAACAAACAGCCTCTCGTTCATTGATTGGAAAGGCAATGGCAAGCTGGGCTGCATGAACGAACATGCATTGCCACGTGGCAGACGCCATAGAAAGAAATTCCAATGTCGCCTCGTAAAGCCGTACTTACACGCCCCATCTTTATCCTCCCCATCCTTCCCTGTCTCTTTTATGTGGAAGGGGCCCATGACATTTGCATCGGGCACCACCTAGATTTTATTACCCTTCCTATCCTCTCAAATATTGAGATTAAATTAATGATGAAATTATGATTTAATTATGAGTTAATGATAGATTTCAGTAAGTTTCAAGTTTAAACTCTTACTTAATGAAGTTTTTAAATTAAGTTTTTTTTTAATTTTTGTTTTTTTCTTAATTGATAGTGTCCCATATTTCCATGAGTTGGTTGAGATTGCATAATTGAAGGGACAAGTATACTATTAAATCTACCAGCTAAAATGTCTCTAAATTTGAGACACGTATGTTAGTTCTTCCTCGAGCTACAAAAGCGCACCACTGCAGTTTCCATTCCACACCCTTGCGTGCGTGATGGGAAGCAAATCCAGCACTGACGAGTGCTCCACCCACTCTATGAGTTGGCATTGATTTCTTAGGCCCCGCTGCAGGACTCAGTAGAAAGCAGACATCGTTTTTATTTCCATCATGAAAGCCTAGCAAGATTTTCACTTTTTTTAAAAAAAAAGAGAAAATTGCATTAATACCCGAAATTATACATGGTAATTCATACGAAAACAAGGATAAAAAAATCCTCGAAATTAAAATCATCAAGTCTTATTCATGTCTGAACTGGTTGAGTCAACCAAATCGTAAATTCACCTACGAGATTATTTAAGTTCAACGCAATTAATATTCAAAATGATTCTATATCAAAGTAAAGGTTTGATGACTACGAGCCGGTCATCCAGTTCGGTAAAGAAAAAATCGATTCCTGCACGGGAAGAGAATTCGAGAGAATCCATGTAAAACCATTAATGAAAAACACGGGAATGATTGAAAGATTTTTAAATACAAACGTCGTCTCGAACTGGGCAGGTCATTGATTTATTGCATGCATCTGGAGCACAGGTGAGGGGGGGGAAGGAAGTTACAAGGCAGAGTTCACTCTCTGGAAAAACTGAAAAGTCTGAACCCAACAGTCAAATTGGACGAACAAATTAGACAACAGAAGAATATGATTAAGAACATGAACGTGCTTCTATTTGGACACACTTTCACGCTGAGGGACATTCTGAAGTTTTGAAGTTCTTGCTGCTTGTCATTGTCACGATAATTGATGTTGTCATCTGCAGTTCAGCTAACCAGCAGCTGGTCCAAGTCCGGGACTCCGAAGAAGTTTCTGACCTTCGGATCATTGGAACGGCAATGCACGGTTTAATTACACATGTTAGAGCTTGTTCAGTGACGCGGCTGCTTCAGCGTCACCGAAATATTTTCAATTTTTTATGTTTCAAAATATACCTAAATGTGAGAAAATATCTATTGAAAAACCAGTCATGTAGCAAACCTAATATATATATAGGAGTAATTCCAAAACGCGACTTGTGTGAAAACGAGTGCAAAGCTATTAGGCGGCCATGGAGATAATTCCTATTAATTTCCCCGTGACTAGGATTTTAGAGATCACGAGTTCAAGAATGTGTGAATACAGTACAAGGCAGAGTTATTCCTCGGCGCAACGCGCCAACCACAAAGCAAGAGGAGACTAGGAGTTGTTTGGATAACGATTGATGTTTACCATTGCTCTTAACAACGATCGGAGCTCGGTAGGTTGACTTTCCTTTTCAGTGTTCGAACCTCATAAAGTCATGTGTTTGTATGGATGAGCGCTTGACTTAATTTTAAAATGTAAAAATTAGTAAGTAAATAAAAACTGACCCAGTACTAATAAAATCCCACGCAATTCATATTAAACAAAAAAAAAAAAAACACTCAAGGCATGACGGTGGAAGAAAAGTATAAGGAAAAACATGAACGATTTTCCAAACAGGAACAAACATCGTTTTTAATTTAATCGCTTGAGTTGAGTTGAGATTTTAGTAACACCTTCCACTCGCTTGAGTTAATTTGTTATAAATAAATGAGATTGTTTCAAAATTCGAGTAGGGTGTGAAAATTATTGTTTTATATATTTTTAAAAAATTACTAGTTATTTTTAGATTGCAATCATGATTAGATTTATATATTTAATTTAATTTGAGCTTCATAAATTAAATCTATTTTAATCCTTCATAGTAACTCGTGTCACATGTCCTTTGAGATTAAAATTCAGGAGACTTGTTTGAAAATGGAGAGCCCGATGGAATGTTGGGAAATAGTGGGGAAAGGGTTGATGGTATTGGGAAAAAAGAGAAGAAAAAACAGAAAGATAATTTGACATTGAAAGAAAGATGCCTGGCAGAGGAGGCATGCTCGACGCATCCTTGTCAAGGCTTGTAGGTTAGGAGGACAGCTTGACCTGGGGCCATGCTCCATCATTATTCTTCCACCACAGTGCAAGAGACCCTGTACAAGCTTCTGCTTGAATAATTTCGCCAACAGCATCGGTACCTCCAGCTCCAAGAAACCCCTCGAACAGAACTGCTAGTTTGGGTTGATGAATATGTCATTATATTATTTTTATTATAATCCTCCAGAAACTGTCAGGAAAAAAAAAAAAACACTAGGTATTGCTCGAAAAAATATTTTGGTGGCGATAATTTTAGTTAAATTAACTAAAACGTGATTCAAAATATGAAACTAAAAGAACTCGTAAAAAAAATACAGAGAAATTATAAAATTCAAGGTTTCATAATCTTATGCTAGAGATGAAAATAAAAATTTTAAAAAAATATAACATCAATAAAAAAAACTCCAATTAAACTAAGATAACTTAAAAAAGATAACTTAAAGATTGTCATAACCCAATTTTAACCCTTTGGCTTTTAATTTAATTTTTACAGGGTTTAAAATGAAAAATTAAAAGATTAGAGATTTATTTCGATGAAAAGTGTGATTTGTCAACTTTCGTGAAAATTAAGGACTACAATATGTTTTTATCATTCTAGCCCTATCCTCAAGATAATTCTTATTTTTTTCAAGATAATCCTTACCTTCAAGTTAATCCTTACCTTCTTCTAGACAATCCTTATTTTCTCCAAGATAATCCTCAAGATAGTGATTAGTTGTCTGCTTTCAAATTCGATTCTAATTCGAACTTCAAAAAAGAGAATGAGTTTGATTGAGACTTTACTTCTCGCAAGTGATGAGACTCTTGTACTGTAAATACAGATCTCAGGGGGGAAGGGAAAAAAAAAAGATGAACCCGAGAACATAGAATTAACCCAGAAAAACAGAGCAAAAGAAAAAAAAGAAAGAGGGATGACAATTAGAGAGAAACCTTAAAAGAAAAAACCTTAAGAAAAGACCATTACCAAAAACCTTAAAAGAAAGAAACATAAAAAAGAAGGGGGGCGGCGAACCCTATACTAGCCGTCGCCCCCCTCAATCCTTTTTCTTCTCAGTCTCTCTCGACTTCGCCCTCAGCAGCCACATGTTTAGGTAGGTTTTATTCTTTTTTTGCTAAAATAATTAACTGGTATGTGTGTTGTCAGGGATATGCTTGGAAAAAGAGGGTAGAGAGA